AGGGGGGGCGGTACTTATGTTACAGTGTGATAATAGCAATTACTCAGGATGACACTTACCAGCTGAAGGATTGGTCCGAAGATAGCGGTTTAGAAACCCATCAGAAAGCTGCCTGCGGCGGCTGCACGAAGCCTGTCACCTGCAGTCGGCGGCACTCGACAATGCTGTCCAGTTCTACCAGAAGATCAAGCCCTCATGACCAACAATTCACGTTTGGAATTCGGAGATATTGATCTAGACTGTCTGGCGCAGATCAAGCCCCAATGACCAACAACTCGTTGGGGCAATTCGGGGGTATTCAACAAAACGTATACTGTCTGGCCGCTTCATGAGTATAGACCGTGGTCGGCCTTCCATATTTCCTGCGGGAAGTCGACCGCGTGCGTGTGTGTCTGCGTGTGGATGTTTGTGCAAGCATGAGTGTGCGCTTACAAAGCAGCAAGGATTGAACATGTGTCCAAAGCTTTTTCTGCAGCTTGTAGATGTCTTCCGTGGAATATCTCTATGCAATTATATCTGCTCTGCGTGTGCGTGCAGCTTATCTCGTGAAGGGGTAAAAGCATATACCGCTTGTAGTGCCTGGAGACCTGGTGCTCCTGAAGTTTGATGGCTTGTTTAAGAACAGCATTAGAGAGGATTCGTGAACACGCTGATCAGGGCGGCGGCACAAGCATAGGGCTCATGCGTGGATGTATGCATGCATGCATCTAATGCGTTGGGCTCTGACAATGTCTGCATGTTGCACGTCAGTCTGCATAGTTTACATGTATGGAATAGTCCTTCGCACAAGTCACGTGCATGAGTAAAGAAATTAGAGAATTATGAAGCTGTATACACACGTATGAGAATCGACCCGCACATGCTCAATGACCCTTCACGCCTATAGCTGCTTGCACGCATCCACACACACACACACATGCGTGCACAAGAAGGCATGGACATTCTCATGCATGTCCTCATGAACTCTACCCTTGTTGCGTAACCGTAAACCTCTCTTACATACTTACCAGCACACGATACTGCATGGAGCGCACCGTGCTGCGCAGCAGCGCAACGAGAAGAGCCAGTGCCGCGAGGCGTAGGCAGCGGCGGCCTTGCAAACGAGCTTTCGCTCTTGCAGGTTTACGGTTCGCTTGGGAGTATCTAGGGATTGATGAGTTAGGCCAGAGTTCAGGTTTAGAGTCAAGTACCATATGACTATCCATCAGTCTTCAGCTCGGGTTGGCTCGGCAGACGCGCCTCCCCCAGCCATTGCTGCAGATGTCGCAGACAGGTAGGCACGGCAGTCGCGAGCTCGACTTGAGAGAAACAGCCGCAGGCGCAGCTTCGGCAGGGCAATGGGCGATGATACTGGGGCAAAATTACAAGGGTTTCATGCGCCAGCAGACCTGCAAAGCCGTGGTGCCTTGCGGCAACGACGGCTGCTGGGTATTAGACGAGGCATGATACACTTCCAGAAGCACAGCTCCGTCTCAGCAGCGGCAGCCCCACTCTTGAGGCTGACGCCAGTCGTTGTGGCTCTGCCTTGTAGCAACAAAGAAGAACTGCAACAGTGCTTCACGACATTATGCTGGAATGGGCAGTTGTGGTTGTCCTGGTCGTCGTCATCGTCATCGGCGTCGTCGTCCTGGTAGTGTTCCTTTCGTTTTGCAGTCGCAGTGGTAGTAGTAGTAGTAGTAGTAGCAGCAGTAGTAGTGGTAGTAGTGATAGTAGTAGTAGTAGTAGTAGTAGTAGTAGTAGTGGTAGTGGTAGTGGTAGTGGTAGTGGTAGTGGTAGTAGTA